AAAGGAGGTCGTTAACATAGATTGTAAACAAAACCGGACCTAAAATAGAGCCTTGCGGAACTCCGAACTCAAGTGGGAGTACTTTAGAAACTGCGTCACCAATTCGAACGCACTGTTGTCGGTTAGAAAGGTAACTCTGAAACCAATCCAACGCACCCTGGGAAAAATCGAGATTTTGTAGCTTGGATAACAAGATGTCGTGTCGAATACTGTCAAATGCTTTAGACATATCTAATAAGACCATGATGGAAACTTTCTTGTTATCCATAGCCTGGAGCAACTGATCTGTAACGTACAACAGAGCTGTTTCTGTCGAGTGAAGCTTTCTATTTCCGCTCTGATGTGCTGCCAGTTTATTATTTCTAATTAGATGCTCCATAAGTTGTCCATGTACCAACCTTTCGGTGACTTTTGAGACTATTGGTAATAATGAGATGGGGCGATAGTTGTTAGGGACATCTGGATTGCCGCATTTGAGAATAGGTGTAACCTCTGCTGTTTTCCATGCACGTGCAAATGTGTTGGTAACAAAGGAGTTATTCACAATGTGGGTAATTGTTGTTAGCGTACTGGGTAAACTGTCTTTAAGAATTCTAGAAGATATCTTGTCCATTCCAGGAGCTTTGTTAGATGGTAGGCTTCTAATCACCTTTTCTACCTGATTTTCCGTGACTTGATGGAGAAAGAATAATTCGGGGCTAACGTCGGTGGATATGTGTAAAGGAGTCGGCACATCCAAATTTACATTAAGTCCATGATGTAAAGATAAGTCCCTGGCTTTTTGAGCAGTAATACTGCCGACGGAAGTGAAGAAATCATTTAATTCGTTAGCTAATTGACATGTTTCTGACCAACAGTCACACTAACAATTTACGGCAGAAAGATTTTTATCAACCTAGTTTCAACACAGTTACGCACAAAAAAACACTCAATTCGATACCTAGGCCCGAGACTTTGGAGCAAGATACCAAGCAAGGACAGATAAGCTGCCAGTCTTAAGCAGTTTAAGACCCGGATACGCAGTCTTGATTTAAGTAACATTTTAGATGGATGTAGTGGCTGCTACCTTTGCAATTCGTAATTTTAACTTTTCTTAATTACGATTTTAATCAGAAGATTTTAGAATTTTGATAAGTATAAACGGGGTTTTTGTAGTATGTATGTTCGTGAGTTGTCATTAGTATTTTTAATTCTAACTCTTAGTAGATTCTAGTTTCAACTCTATATTGATACGTTTTGTATTTTTAGATTGTATTTTAGAAAGTTAGGTGTCCCCTATTAGCAGTGGGGAATCCCCTCTGCTAGATTTTTGTTTGACACGTTAATAAAGCAAGAGAGGATAAAGGGGACAGAGAAGGCATCCCCCATACACGCCCTATTCCATAGGTAATTCGTCTCGAGTTATTTTTAAGACCATAGATCCCAAGGGGGACTAAACAACAGCCAATCACATAGTGCGAATGTGTTCCGCGTGGATGACCCACGTTCAGAGCCACGTGTCCTTCACGAATTGACGCAGGAAAAAATGGCGGAAGACGCGGAGAGCGATATTGCTATCAGTTTTGTCGACGAAAACGACTAAAGAGAGATTTCTGCGAAAGCTGTGTCAGCGAAACGGAAATTAAAAAAGAATCACCCTTCCTCTCGTGTATAGAGCTAACAGTACAGCAGGGAAATCCTTAACACACTGAATATTCTCTCAGGATCATTTATAATTTACAGTTTGAAGAGAGCAATTTCTGGTTTGATATTTATTCTTTTCTTAGTCTTTTATTATTCAACAAAGTAAATAACACTTAGCGTCCTACTTGCTTTATTGTACAAACGACCGGTTTCAATAGACCGGCGAAATTTCTCATTTTATTAAAGTATTGAGGTTACGACAACTTCGAGTTAAACTGATTTCACGGGTTGTCAAAGAGTCTAGCGATTCCCTTTTCCCAGGTGAGCGCCGACTCATTTCGCTTCAATATTCATAAATGCTCGCGATCTCTTTACGCTTTCATTGCCTTTCGCCCGATATGTTTTGCACGGCGTTTAGTCATGCGAAACCTCCACGAAACATCCATGCAGCGCGCGAGGTAACTTTATCCCGATTCTAAAAATAACTCGAGACGAATTACCTATGGAATAGGGGGTGTATGGGGGATGCCTTCTCTGTCCCCTTTATCCTCTCTTGTAATAAAGTCATTATTATTATCAATGAATGCTAAAATGCAACCTCACTGCAGAGGCTGCATTAGATTAGAGTTGAAGATGTTTTCCAGCAAATATTTTGACATTTCACTTAGAATTCTTGTTACTCAAGAAGTTATTTCCCATAGCGGGAGACATTGAATTGGTTACATAAGGACAACCAGAAAATGGAATGATAGTGGGAAATTTCAAATACACCACTTGCACACTTGCACTTTGGGGGTGTTTTATGTAATATGTAAAGAACGACCGGGACGAATGCATCATCACGGGTTCGAAACACCGCGAAACAGATGAAAGGTTTAACGTTCAGAAGGTAAAGGAAAGCAATAGCGGGAAACTGAATTCTCACATAAAAACTGCCCTCCAAAACTAAAAGATAAAACAATTAAGAATAGAATATCTAATATATAACTATACATTATGTAAGAAAAAAAGATGTTAGATAAAAAAAAGAAAATCCAAACTTAGTAAGAAATAATAAAAATATGACTATTTAAAAAGATAATTAAGTAATAAAGAAGAGTTTAAGCTGAAGCAGACATAACGGAGTTTGGTGAAGAGTTCCAGTCATTAACGTAACGATTAAAAAATCAAAATTTAAAATATTAAAAAACGCGGTTTCAAATATGTGCCAATATCTCAAATGTTTTTATACCTACAAGAAAATAACATTTTCTTAAAGTTCGACCATTCTTTATAAAGGATGCCAAAAATCATAGAAATCGGTTAATCATTCCTGCCGAAAAACGCGATTCAAAAACATAACCAACGCGCATATAAATAGGTTCGGGCCACCTTAAGGACAGTTTTTCAAATCCTTTTTTGGATTTCCCAATCGAACGGTAAAAATGAAATCCAATACCAGATATCTCAGCGTTGTAATCCGTTTTCGTATTTCGCGTTCGATTGGAAATCCGAAATCCGGATTTTAAAATCTAAAACGGAAAATTCCCGGAAGCAACGGAACATCTGAAAAGGTAGTCCAATTTTTCCGGGTGGAATATTCCAAACGGAAATTCGTGTTCAGTTTCTTCAAAACCACCTTTGATACCAGTTTCAGGCCTTCGCGGTCGCTTTCCGGTAAATGGCCAATGCAAACGCGATTCCGGGACGAAATTTAGCAGTCCTGAACTTTGCGAACCATTAACCCAAATCGTGAACCGACCGGTTTGCCCATGTAAATGGTAAACAACCGTTGATAACCCTCGCGCTTTCCATTCAAAAATTCCGGTTTGAAATTTCGAAAATTCTACGTGCTGGATGGAACCCAAGCCACAGCGCGTTTGGTTACAATCAGTTCTTGCAAGCGGGATAAAAAAGAACGGTATCGGGGACAACAATTTAGCCTGTTCCAGGCGTTCAGATAGTAGAGCGCGGGAGAAAAATTCACGAACAAAAAAAACAAACGAGGGGAGCCCTACATAGCCATACACAGCCCTACAAAGCTATACACAGCCATAAATAGCCCTACATAGCAATACATAGCCCTACATCGCCCTACATAGCCATACATGGCCATACACAGCCCTACATGGCTACTGTGTTCCACAGGGTTCTTTATTAGGCCCACTCTCGCTCCCCCACTTACCGCCGCGCTCTACTATCTGAACGCCTGGAACAGGCTAACAACAATTTTGTTATGTCGGTCCGACCGACCAAAATGACCAGAGCGGTCAAAGTGGACTACCTTCAAAGCTGGTCCCGAATATTCTGGTCGGCAAACCGAAATGGTCCGTTCCATTTGATGTACTAACCGAAATTTCCGGCATTTTAGGTTGAATGGAAAGCTCCCTTTATCTCTCATTGAATTTCCATAATTTATGCAGTTTACAAATACATCACTTGCAGATCTCCCACAATGCACCTTATTTGCCCCAAAAATTTTACATCAATTTCTCTTGGGACAGCTGTAATACCAAGGAACAAATGAAAAAAAGAAATACAGTGGCCTATGCGTAGTGGTAATATGTTGGTCGATATGTTGAACGCATTTGCTGTATTAGCGCACCAGGGATTGATCATATATAACTTTGCAATACGAGTTTATTTGTTTTGAGGTAATAATATAAAACAGAAGGTAAACGAGGAATTAGTATCGACATTTTTTTGTTGAACTATAAACCAGCATTCTAGCCCATACATGTAGCTGAAACCATATTAACGCCTTAAAACGCCCTAAAAAGTGATGGCCTCCTGATTTCTCACTGGGCGATGTTCGTTAAAAAATTCTTTGGGTTGCTTTCACCTAAGAATTTGCGCTCCTGGGCACATTCTATTACTGATCTCCATTATTCCAATAAGTGTGGAGAAGATAGAACTTTCTGCTTATACCCAAAAGGTTTCTCAACAGTGCACTGCACGCTATAAAAGATATGGATCATGTCTTAAAGAGAGCAACATTAATGCCTCTCATCCTCAACAGATGCCCTTTTGTTGCGAAGAAGGAAACAAGCGCGCGAGCTGGGGGGGGGGGGGCGGGCGAAGAGATTGCGGAGGAGAGAGCGTGTATGCGTGTTATTGTGGATAGATTGCGAGCAGTCCCTCTTTTTCTTCAGTTAGTGAGGTGATAATCAAATTAAACTGAAGCTCTACTAATCATGCGCTTATGCAAAGTATCCGCTGGCCACAAAGGCAAAACAATCGTCTACTTTTATGGGTTGACTAAAGTCAAATTTTAAACCTGAGGGTGTCCCACAAAAACAAAAAAAAAACTATTCTTTTAAAATATGACAAATAATCCAACAATTCGTTCAACACTTTGAGCTTTAATTTGTTATCATTCACAAGTACTTGCACTGAACTTAAGCAGCATGCTGTTTCTTCCAGGCAGCAAGGGGGCCGTGATCTGAGATATATTTGGCATGTACTCCATCAGGTATTAGTTTTCCTGAAGCACGCCACTCCTCATAAGTTTCACGGTCAAACTTGGTGAAGCCCCACTTCTTGGACACATAAATCTAAAAAAACAAAGGTCGCTTGGTGTGAATCTCAATGCAAAATATAATGTTCATTAAGATCTAAAGAAAATAAAGATACACCTAAATGCAATACCGTTGCCTTAGAAAAACGCTACAAGGAAAATTGAAAAAAAAAAGAGAAGGTCAAGTAGGGAATAATTAGCATTACTAATAAACTACTATAGAGTGTACTCATTTTCAGCATACGGCTTTACACAAATGTTGCAAATAGTGGTTTAATAGTAAATCTAATAAATTCCTATTTGGGTTTTTCCAATTTTTCATTTTCTATGAAAACGTTATTGAAGTGAGGCGTTTATCTGCAAACTTTATTGATTAAGTTTACTACCAAGTTGGCTAATAAGTTCACTACACTTACAAGGTTTAAAACAGTAAATTAAAGAAAGATTAGCCATAATGAACTCCAAGCACGTCTGGTCAAGCGCAAGCCCCAAGGTTCCATCAATGACATTAATTATTTGACAGTAAATGAATCCATTAAGTAATAACTGTTTTAAATTTCAGTTTCATCTGCGTGTAGGAGGAGGGGATCGAAATGCATTTTATTATCTACTTTCCAGGCAAGCGGTGAATGCCAAGTTGATACGGTAGTCGTTACCGAAAACCTCACAGATTTTAAAGACCAATTTAACACTGCTGTCATTACGAATCCTGCCTTATCGTTGCTGCGTGGTACCTTTTTTCTATTTGTTCAAACCATCAAGTCAAACAAATTTAAATAAATGAAAACAATAGTGGGACAGCAGAATTCCGTATTTTACCGGAGGCGGCAACAAATCTTTCATAGTCTTTCAACAGTTTGCAAAAAGGCGGGTGGAGGTAACGTAGAAAACAAACATGAGAAAAGGACTGGTAGTTATAAAAGGCAACTTATCTGTATCTCTATCTGTCATCAGTTTTTCTTTGTTTGTACCAGGAGAATAACGCTTTCTTCAGTTCGAGCCTTAAAATGAAACGTGTTCTGAAATACTTGTGTTTTTGCCCCCAGATTTTCTCTTTCCTTCCTAACAGTGTTGACTGCTCAGGCCGCATTTGGCTTTCATTTTCAAAACGAACACCCCTGATCTCTGCATTCCTGCATGCTTAAAAGGTAGTCTTAAAACTCTTCTCGCTCAGCTTTCATAAAGATGTGTTTAAGTTTACATCACTCTTTAGTACAAAGATTCTTCACTCTCACGAAATACTGAGAAGCTGTAGTGAAAAATTTATTGCCCAGTATGCAAGGACTTGTATCGCAACGACTGTAAACCCATCCATGCAGGGTTAAAACAAAAGTCTGGCATTAGGATATTAATAATACAGCAAGAAAAAATTAAATATCTAAGTGTGGTAAATGGGGTACAAAAATCTGAAATAAAGATCACTGTACATTGACCTGTGTGGGGGGCCAGGCCTAGGAATTAGCCTGAGAAAACAGCCGACATTTGGCGATCCTACTACTGGTTTCTCCACCAAGTGAACTCTGAGAAACGAGTGCAGAAATTCCATACTGAAGATGCATAATTACCTAGATCTGGGTAGTGCTTCTGATTGGTCATGCCTTGTGGGAAATTTATTTAACGAATCAGAAGCACTTCTCAGAGATCATTTGGTTGGGAAACCAGTAGTTGAGTCACCAAATGTCGGCTGTTTTCTCAGGATACCTAGGAATAAGATGAAAACATTTACTAATTGCAAGCCAAGTGACAAAAAATGTCCACATATCTTGGGACCCCTTTTTTCAAAAAGGGCACTTTACAATTTCAGAAGTGAGCTGCTCGCATGGCCCTCATTGGGCAATTCTTAGGCTATGTTCACGCTATACCGGATGGTATTTATTTGCATGCTGACATGAAAAGCTAACTGGATTAGCATGAACAGCAAAGGCACAGAATTGCAACAAGTCATTCACACACAACGAATATGGTGCCCCAGTGTTTGACTGAGATGTGAACTAAATCCCCATGCTAAGCCACAAAAAGAAAGGCAATCGTACAGAAAACCTACCTTTTGCCTTCCAGGGAACTTAAACTTGGCTCTTCTCAAGGCTTCAATAGCAGCAGCTTTGTTACCATCCTTAGTTCTAACAGACATGATGACTTGGCCAATGTTGACACGTGCCACAGTTCCCTGAGGTTTACCAAAGGCACCACGCATACCAGTCTGAAGCCTGTAAAGACACAATAGTCAATTATCAGTCCAAAATAAATCACTAGGTCAGTTGATGTTTCCGGGTAACTGACCACCTACCCCTCCCCTAAGTCAACATAATTGCTCACTTCTCACTCACAATGTAGAGCAAAATTGTGACTTAGGGGAGGGCTAGGTGGTCAGTTACCCAGAAACTTCAACTGATCCCATATTATACCATGCAATGGATTTGATTTTCTCAAAGCCACAAGAAATGCGATCCCTGATTAATTACAGGAACATGTGGCACTGAATTCTTGCAGGTTACGGTGTACAGTAGTTCTCGCAGTGCAGCATTATGGTATGCAAATGAGATTACCTGATAAGTATGATTTGATGGCACCACAAGGTTATATTTTTTTGTAAAAAATTCTTCAGAGGCGACCTGAAGTCTGTTGTTTATGTCTCATTACTGCCGCAGAAAATGTTTCGGTCAGCTTGTGTTTTGAAGTTTAGGTGTGCTTAGTAAGACATGTCTGCTCCAAAAAAGGCGCCACTTGGCACAGTAAAAGCAAGGGTCATTTTACATGTAAGCTGTGATCGTTGCTGTCTGTACAGTTGTGACTAAGTAAGCTCAGAGAATAATATTTAATAGCTTTTTATAATACACAGTATGCATTCTTTAAAAGATACCCATTTTTGACTTTGTTCTTTCCTATTTATTGTGTTCGTGGCTAAAAACGATTTAAAGCTGTGTTAACCATCAGTTTGTTGCTCTATCACTCTATAATCAAATAACCCAGCTGATCTTTATAACAGATATATATGTGTATATAAATATAAGGATAACTATGTGTATCAAAAGCATCCAGACGAACCTATCAGCTCCAGCACAAGACAACATTTTGTTGATCCTAATAACATGGAAAGGATGAAGCCTCATGCGTAGATGGAAGGAGTCTTTACCACAGTTCTTCACCATATATTTATTACAGCAGATGCGTGCTGCCTCAAGTGCTTCACTTGACAGCTGCTCATACTCATCTGAAACCATGTGAATACAAAGTGGCAGCTCATCTACTCGTGCCTTCTTTCGTCCCAAGTCATAAATCCTTATTTTAGCATCTGCCACAAAAAAATTTTTAAAAAATTAGTACCATCTAAAGCATTGACCCTTTCACTTCTAACACTGGCCAAAGTCAAAATTCACAAAAATTTCCAATTTTCATTTTGCTTTTAGATAACATCATGCAAAAGTGGTGGTTTGTTTTCATTGAAAAGCGATTTCTGCAACCTTTTTAAAAACACAAAACAACAAAATTACTACAAAAAAATTGATCATGAATGCTGTTTCTGTCATTCAGTACCCGTGTGAAGCAAACGCAAACTGTTAGATAAATCTCGGCAATACATTCCAATGCTTTCCAAAGCCACTAGAAATTTATCAAACTGTTAAAACCTTTTGGACAGCTATTTACAATTCATTCATCAGCTGTTAGTTTTTGCTCGTTTGATGAAAGTGTTAATGTACATTTCCCAGAAAAGGTCACATTTAATCTAACTAAAAAGCACTGCACTGCATGCTGCATGTGATCAACTCCATCTTGCAGTTGGCACAAGCTATCTTCATGCATGGAATCTTCTATAATCTTAATTATTTAGAAATCTACAAGATAAGGCTTCTTATATACAAATTTGTAAACAGGATGGATTCATGAATGCAATAAAATTGCAAAAAATTTTGATTTCATTGTTATTGGTCCTATGGGCAATAAAATAAATTAATTGTACATGTAAGTTTTGCTTGATGCCATGTATAAAATTTGAGTCTTGAGTGTGTTCTAGAGATGTGAACACACAGAAGCCAGAGTCTCCAAACAGGCATAAAAAATTATTTACCAGCCCTTGCAGCGACATTTGCAAATATAATATATTATGTAACGGATACTCGGGGCAAAAATCCTTTTTTTCATTCCACTTATCCATGGTTGTTGATTTTACCCCTTATTCGCTCCAGTGGCACCTGCTATGTTTTTTTTTTTTTTGGCTTATTGAAGTATTGTGACAGTGGCTGAATTTACACAGCACACAAAAAATATACACCTAGAAAGCAGCCGTGACACAGAGCATATTTTGCTGCAATGCACCATGGACTATACATCACCACTGGTCAAAGCATAACAAGCCCATTCAGACCAACCGTTGTTGCATCTTTCAAACAGGAGAAGGCTGGTAATTTTTCCAGTTTCGTTTTACTTTAAACTAATTTCAGGAATTCAGGGTTTATTCTGGAAATCGGCCAATAAGGGGGTCCAAGAAAGGGGGTTCACCAAAATTGGTGCAGACTGTTCCATGAGAAAAATGGCTCGGACTCACTTGATGCTTTGCCGACATTTTGGAATATTCTGGGCAACTGAAAAAGCCCGAGCTCAAATTACTGCAGAGTCCTGGATGTCCGTCTGGTTAAATGATGACTCAAAGAAAAAAGAGAAAGGCAATTGAGACAGTAAGAGGCTATAAAAGTTAAAAGTAAGTTTATAAAGCAGCTGTCAAATCATTATTGTTGTCAGTGGTGTTTTCAAATATTTCATTTCCAAAAAAATAATACTAATCCTTGGGTCAATTTTTTTTTGAGCCTCATTTGACACGGCAACATTAATTTTTTTGCAGCACTTTGTTCCAAATTGCAGAAATCCCGCAAGGCTGCACTCTAGAGTAAACCCTGGGAATTATTATCCTCCTAACACAAAAATCTGCAATATGTATTCCTCAAGGGGCTAATGCCTTGGCAGATTGGGTTGTTCGAGGGGCAACCACTCAGCACAAATTGGTTGCCCCACTGATGATTTTGGTTGTCTGGGACAACTGGACAACTGTTAATTTTGAACCCTGACTGAACACAATGTTGGACAAATTAATGTCTGATGACCCACTGTTATTTGCAGCCTTGCATTATTAGGACTGGCTTGACTGTACAGGTAAATCATTGTTTACAACACAGAGTGAGTGTAAGGACACAAATAGATAATGCCTTCTCTTAAAAGCCGCTCAAAAAAGGTTTCCGAACAGATCTTCGTAAGTTGTATCTTTTCGCGTGGTTTAAAATATCCACATACTTTGAAAATATCCACATACTTTTCTCAACCACACTTGATCTAGTGCCTACTGGTACATATTTCTCACCTGGAACACCACGACAGAAACGTGACTTGGGGTAAGGTTTGTTCTTGCAGTAGCGGTAACTAGGAAAGAGAAAATTAGTTTCATGACTGTGTTGTACAGGCTAAAGTCACCTCAGGAAATGGCATTCAAATGATGCTGCATATCTGATAAACTAGGGTATCTAAAAGATAGTAATGCTGCGGCACATTCTGTTGATACTGGCATTCGTTAGGCAGTGAGACTTAAGAGAATCAAAAATGACATTGAATGTCCTATTTACATGTTGGAAAGTACTAGAATAATTACTATCAGTCTATAGAAAGAACTCGTGGGAACGTTGTTTAGAAAATGATCAAGTGGTTATCAACTCTGGTTTTCCCACAGTAAATTGTAGGAAATAATAGAAATTGAGATTGTTTATCCATATATTTAATAGACGGTGAACGATATTTTCTCTGGAAACACAATACTTTTCTTGCTGTTTGTTGCACTTTATTAAGTAACAGTTATTTAGCTATATATTTATAGAAAACAACAACACAAAAAACGGAAAAAAAAAGAAAGAAGGAATAAATAATTCGGTAGGACTCGAACCCGGCCCCTTCGACTCGACGCAGCTTCACCTGACCACTACACCACAGAGTCTGATTACATAATTGCTGGGAAAAGTGTTTCATCTTATTCGTTTTCTATGAAACTTCCGCTGGCAAGATGATCGCCAGCCGCATTAGCCGAGCTATTAACAGTGAAAAAACAATGTAAACGCATATTCCATGGCAATGAATGAATGAAAGAACATAATTATGCTTTTCAAAACGCCGATACACGTCCTGGTCTGCAAAGTAGGACACAAAACATATGTTTTGTTATCTCGATTTCCGCTGTTATTTTGAAGCGAATGGTCAAAATCACATCCATTTTCGGCTCATACAGTTTCTTAAGAATAGCATTGCATGACATTTTCTCACTTTCACATCACCTTCTAGCAAGCTGGAATTTGTTTATCCCCCGTGTTGCGGAGTCGAAGAGCAAATGCTCATCTTCTCGTCAGGTTTAACACCTGGACGAGTCAAAGGCTCTTGAATTGAAATCCACTCCGCTAAGTTAACCATCGTACTCATCTGAAAGACTCCTGCGTGTCTTAAAATTTGGTAAGACCTCTAACCGTGCTGTAGAACTGAGCAGCGTACGATGCACTACTTCCCCGTGTTTTTATTTGAGTTGTTCGTGGCGCAATGCACTCTGGTTAAATGCAATGCATTGTGGTAAAAAGTGTGGTTAAATGCAATGCATTGTGGTAAAAAGTGATGAATTCGAGAATTCCTCGCCCCTTATATATTTCCTTTAAATCCTGATTATGTTGCTGCTCGCTCCCTTCGGTCGCTCCGCAGCAATAATTTATATGTACTATAATGTGAATGTGAATCAGACATATTAAGATACAAAATTTAAAAGCATCAAAATTAAGAAAACAAAGAAATGCCACAGCAAATAATACAGTTGAATCCCAATTCTACAAATTCTAGGTTAATCAAACCCCCACAAAACCACTTAAGGTAATTCCCTTGAAAATGATGTTCATGTAGTATCCAGACATTTTTCAAACTTGCAACAAATGCCAGCCATATGTAGTAAATTCAAACACTGCAAAAGATAGGGTCACCGTGCTTGTTTTTGCCCCGTGTGCCCATTATTCTGAGTGTTTTTCCTAGTTGTGGGCAAAATGTTTGAAACTTCAACAATCGTCAAAATTCTTATTTTATGGCAAAAACTATGAATCTTACTAAAACCTTAAGCCCGTTTGTTTGCCTGGGCTTTATTTTTTCAGTTAAGTAACCTCAAATTACCCTATCTTGAAAGAAATGTAGAGATATGGATAATTTTCACATTATCTTGCCCTTCTCTGTGGCCCTTAAAAAGGAATTTTGGGTCATTCACATCTAAAAAAAATACACTTCTACTTTCCAGATTTTTTCCTCCTTACTATATATATTTTTTGTGTAGCCATAACATGTAAAAACACAAATAAAAAAGGGGGTCACCATCTTCATTTCATCGCAAAACAACAACAAAGGGACAATTTCGGCTTCAAATGATCATTTTACATGAGGGGACTGAGGCAAGTTTCAAGACAAACACCTCTTTAGCTGGGTAGAATTATCAAAATTGCTATTTAAACAGGGCCAGGGCTGCAAATAACGGCCGGTCAACGGACAATGTTCCGTCAAAAATAGATTTTGTCCGGGCAAATCCTTAGTTGGCCAGACAATTTGTCCAGTCGTTTACGCTGGTAAGGAAAAAATTTAGAGTTTCAGGTTTTAAATATTTAAAGGTTCAATATTATTGGCATTTGTGAAAAAGGAGGGGAAAAGACGGATACTTGACTACCAGACCAAGAACTTTTAATAAATGATCCGTAGTAGTCATAAAATTTCCGGCTGTCGTTGCACATTTTCGCTTTGTCATTCACCAAGTCGTCGCCGTAAATTGGTGGGTCTTAAAGATGTGGTCCGAACACATGCGAAGCTCCCCCACGCACACGAGAAAAAACCTCTGGTACCCAGGGTAATGTGTACCGGTCACGGGTGTGAAGTACTTTATTATTAGTCCGTGTGGGTTTTGTAAACATGATGTGAGAAGGACAACAAAACCTCTCAATGTCGGTACAAGGGTCATGGCACCCTTTGTCTTCAAAATTTAAGTGTGAGAATAGCAATAACAAGAAAGCAAGTTTACATTCATTTGTCTACTTGTCGACATTTCCGTGTTAATCACTTAAGCTATAAATACCACGATTAACTAAACATTCTATTTTCTAGGGAAGCTAACCTTTTTAGCAATAAATTCAGATATGACAACATGTTAACGTTACCTGACCTAAATAGGTCTAAATACGCGATTCATCTCAAACGATTGACCGCAGATTTCATTGTGTTACGTGTCACGCATGATGCATGGGTCGTTTACATAAAATATTTGAAAAATTCTTCTCAAACTTGACTGAAGCAAAAATGCAGTAAGTTTCACCATTGACAGGTCGAAACACAATGGATTAGAAAGAAATTGAATTTGCGATAATCCTTTACAAATATTGTCAATGTGGTATGTAACGACTTCAGTTAAACAGGTAACATGTGAACATAGTCATCAACGTCTTCGAAAACCCTTTCCAGTGCATCCGGGTGTTCCCTTGTTATATGTCCAAACTGCGTTTCCGCAAGATGATGGCCTTGGATGTCTAAAAGAACTCTTCCATTATTGTATTTTAAAAGTTCAATCACGCATCTTAGGAAAATAGCTTCCCTGTTTCCAGTAACATTTAAAATCAACTAGATTGCAAGACTCAGTCAATTTCATCAACTTCATAACTAACCGTATATAAGACGCAGAACTGAAGCAATGGTAGGACGCACTTTTGCTGTACCATGCGTTCCACTTTTCCTGCATTGAGATCGATGCTCATGTACAATAAATGCTTTGAAAATTTACTTGTTTCATATTGAAACATCATGTGAAGGGAGGAGGGGCACTTTTATAGCAATAAGACGTAACTGATGTTTGTCTGGCCAAAGATGGGATATGTCCGAGCAAAAAATAGGTTTGATCGGACAATTTGACCGGCGCCAGCCAGGAAATTATTTGCAGCCCTGCAGGGCTAAAACTTGCCGGTCGCCAGGTTTACCAGTTGCGACTTAAAATGTAGCTGGGCGACTACGATAAAAAAATATAAATTTTAATTCAGCCTGATGTAAGGTTATATTATGATTCAATCGATCTTTATCAAATGAGAATTTAGTTTGATTAAGATCGGCAATCAAACATGATCAAAAATAACAAAAAAAACCAAAGCGCTTTGGCCTGTCATTCAAATGATTCTTGTCAAATTTTTTTGATTTCCTGTTTGTGAAACTGCACTGAAATACATACACGTATAAACATCGCACAGAATAACATAAGGAAGCCACAAACCGTATAGAAATTACCCGAAAATTTCTAAAAACCACAGTGCGCTTGGGTTTGTAAAATGCAATACCACAACTTAAGAAAAAATTTCCGCAAAATTGCACCGAAAATCAAGCAAAACCGCATCACTGCAACCCCTTACACCCACCTCTTGACACAAATGAACTTAAACTTAACTTAACTTGGTATTGTTTCAATCTTCATACAGTAACCTTACAGTCGCTTGCAGCAACAAATCATACCGTGTTGTGTTATGTCAGTGCAAAATTACATGTACCACAAAATCAGTTATGGATGAATCTTTTGTGCTCTGTCTCAGGAGACTACATGTAGATTATCAACATGATTCTTGTAACTTGTTCTCCATTCTTGCAGGAATCAAGAATAGTGAATCACGACTCACGAGGGACTGTAAACTATCTTTTGAACTGTTCTGTATCAAACCGTGTGCACAGTTATCTCATCCAAGGTATTTCAAGAATGGATCTAGGGTAAAGTTCATAGCTACATCATAAAGTTCACCTGAGAGGGATAACCAAATGCTACTTCCTTTTCTGCAGGTTTGAAAAATTCAGAGTTTACTGTACAATCAAAATGATTGTTTCACCGGTTAGAAGTGTGTTTCCTAAAAATGCTACTCCCTCTTATCCTTAGCCATGAATTACATGTACACACTGATTACCCTCATAGACAACTATGATAAAAATGATATACAAAGGTTTTAAGCAAGAGGCCAGGTGATCGAGAAAAATTATACGCGTGCAATCATTATAATATTATTTAACACGTACTTACCAACGGGCAGGTCTGCGCCCCATATTGACAACACTGAAAAATATGCAATATTAAAAACCAAATAAATATACGAACGTTGAGCAAATTGCATAGTCACACTTTACTCGAAAGAATCAGGTTTACAGGATTAAAGTGATCAAAGACGATCTTGTGTCATTCTACGGGTTTCTAAACCCGTAATATGGATAGGAAATATATTTTCATCGAATCAAAATGACGTTTTATTATAAAAAGATGTGATTTGGCAGTAATTTTTCCCTGGGAAGGTGAGATTAGCCTGCTAAGGACGATTGACAAAGACAACTAAAACGGTGGAAGTTTTCACATAAGTACTGAAAACGAAAAAAATAACAAGCTTCAAGAAGCAGGGAGTACTTGTGCTCGCTTATTATGAGATATTTGCTGTATAAAAACGACCGATGGCCACAGATTGACCAATTAGTTTTAGTTAGTCTCCACGATATTCCATACTCACCAAATCGATGGCAAAAGAAAGAGAGAAGATGCGAGATCCCGTATACTGGCACCGTAAAACCGCTGTCTAAACCTGAACGTCGCTGTGGGCTCAATATTTGTACCATTTACAATGCACCACAGTGTAACCCGGTTAATACGGACACCAAGGGGACATGCCATACTGTCCGTATTATCCGGGTGTCTGTATTAAGCGGGCTCTCAGAGAAAACGTCAGGAACACATGTTTTATCAATATAAAGACCAAAGCAGAGAGCTTTACGAACCAAGGATCGGTAGAAGTATGTGGAAAGGCAGTCAACTGGGGTGGAGGTCTTGGTATGGAAAAACGATGTGTTTACATTTTTGATGGTCCTCGGAAACACGTGGATTTACTTGAACAATTACTAAACGTTAGCAACAACCCAGCAATAGGAGCGGAGGATGATCCTGGTACAGCTCGCAGCAAGCAAACAACGTCAAAGAGGAAGAAGGTTAAGAGCAATGACTGCAACAAAAAGCCAAGGAAGTGAAACGTGTGTAACAGGAGGCAGAAAACTTTATTAAAGGACTATACGTAGTACAAGAGTCAAACACCGGAAGAAAGACAGACTGTTCAAAATCAAATATGTCACGCGGAGGGAGGCAGCGTGGCCGAGTGGTCAGCGCGTCGGACTCGCAATCCGGCGGTCCCGGGTTCGAGTCCCGCTCTGGCCACTTGCTGGATTTGTGCTCGGTCGTCCCGAGTTCAAATTCTCGGCCACGCTTGTAAATAGCCAACTGGTTACCTTCTGCCAGTTGGGCTTTTTAATCCTGTTATGTTGTCTTTGAATTATTTGTTTCTAAATATTTGAGTGGAGTGCCTGTAAATTAGCTGACTAGCTAAGTGCACCTAAGTGCGGGGTTCCACTGTATATGGCCCAGCGGCCCCATTCTCTCACTCCAAAAAAACTCGCCCCTTCTCCGATTTTTTCTGACGTAAAACTTTCAGAATCTTAAATGTAATGAGAGAGAAATCAGAAACATTTTCACTTAGTTTCGTAATACGTTAAATTGCATCTAAAATTTTGGGGGAAATAATACTGAAGCCCTTGGATGGCTTCGAACAAGACTCAAGGTTCCCCTAAAGTGACCGAACAGATACATCAGCTGATGATACAGTGTTATATAATGCCGCCCTAGTTTGTATTTCTAGAGATCTAAAAGTACTCTTGATACTAGCCTAAAAAGTGTTTTCAATGTATTAAGGAGGAAACCGTCGTTGGGTTCCCCTGAGACGAGATATTGGCCCTTGTGGATAAATTTATATGCCACTGCAGCTTTATCAGCGTAGAACCGGTATCTCACAAGTCAAGGAACTAAGATGGCGTATGTTGAGAAAAAATCAGGCAGAATCGGTCAGGCTTCCACCAACACAAGGAGCACTTTATGAAGCAATTCTCCGCGCCCCCTATTAAATGATAGTTTGGAACGATGATAAGTGTGTTGTCCTAGTTTGCCACAGCCAGGTGGATTCAGATGGGAGAAAAGGGAGGATAAATGGATCCCCGTTATGACAAAAGAAGCACCTGCTTCTGAAGCAATCGTCCAATTGGTCAAGTGCGGCTGTCAAAAGAACCGATGCTCAAACAATTGATGCCACTGGCGGAAATTAGGCTTGAAGTGCACTAGACTTTCTCAAAATCCTTCGCTTCTCATTTCCGGTTCCAGTAGTTGGCCGCAGAAAACATAAAAAAAATCTACCGCTTGCGCTTCGCGCTCGTGAAAAAATTTGGGTTCGACTTGTAGGCAAGTCTAGAATTGCACCTACCTCTGTTCTTGCTGTGGCAGTGATGATGGTCCTGTGAAAATGTATGTGATGATACTGATACACTAAAAATTGAGTACAAGGACTCTGACAGTGAGAAGTAGAAAGATTAGAAAGTCAAAATTTGTTGAAAAATACGACTTTCACTGAATTTGTTTCTAAGAAAAGGTATTAATGTTAGTGCCCTTTGTATATTAAGTCTCTACACTATCGGTTACTTGACCACGCTGAAGAGTCGTCATCAGCTACTTATTAATTGAATAAGACATATCATCATCATCATCATCATCATAATAATAATAATAATAACAATACACTTTTTTTAAAGAGGGTAGCACGGAATAGTTACAGAAACTAGTAAACTTGTGGCCCTCTTGATTGTAGTTCATTTCAAAATTCCAATAAACGGCCATTTTTTGGTCGTTTTATCGTTCAGCCTTGTTCTCATGCAGGGCAGGGCAGTGCAGTGCTCTTCTTTAACAGGGGCACCCAACGACGGTTTCCTCCTAAATACATTGAAAACACTTTTTAGGTTATCCAGAGTTCTTTTAGATCTTTAGAAATACATTCTAAGAGGTGCTGTAAAATTTGCATCTGTTCGGTTATCCTAGCGGAACTTGAGTCTTCTCGAAATTGCAAGGGCTTGAGTATTATTTTCCTGAAAAAATTTAGAAGAAATTTGAGGTATTACGAAAGTGAGACATTTCCTAATTCTTCTCTCCATCACATTTTTGATCCGAAAATTTTAGTTTTTCATTTTTCTACGAAAAATAGCCTAACTTGGGAAGTAAAATGCGAAATTAGACTTCAGAAAATCGTACATGAATGGAATAGAAAATTATAGGCAATATTTGCTCTTCCGAACAGATATTTAACAGAAAACAGTCTGCCCCTGTTTTAAAGCCTTCTAAAGATCCTCTGCACGCAGTAAAAAGTGCCGACATCAGGGCGGATAAAGGTTGGGCGATGAAACGAGCGCTCCGCTCTTCATTTAATGTGTGATGCGGAGTAGGACTGGCACGAGCGCTCTTTCCGCGCTTCCGCTGCGCTTGAGGGCCGGCGAAATTTTCCTTTTTGCAAACCGGAAATCCTATTTTCTTTCTGTAATTTCAGGCTACAATGTTAAATAGATAAATTCGTTTCATAACATTATCAATAAACAGTTTCATATGTTTGTGTCTGTATGCCTATAAGTCAAACTTGTTGGTCGTATAATGCCAAAATTTGAGTTTAATTTGAAAGTGTTGAATACCTCCTTCTTCCACTAAATATCACCTAATTGTCTTTCGCCGTTTCGTTTGCAAAAGTTTAACACTTCTTAACCTCAATTTTTACATATGTTAAAGGGGGATAAATTTCATGTAACATAACAAAAAATTAGATTGATATATTTTGATATAGTGGCGTTGTACTCCTTCAAACTTTGCTTCTCGGGTGCAACGCGCCATGGCGATTCGCGCAATGCGTCGCAAATCCGGCAACCGCATGTAAACAAAATTTATTGAGGTTAGTTGTAGGTTTTTTCTCCGTTGTTCTCTCTAAAACAAAACAAAGTAAACAGTAAAAACTGAGGGGAAACTAATTTTGAAGTTTCGAAGAAACAGAAAGACGTATGAGATGTTTTTTTTCAAAAAGAAGGATGATGATGATGATTGAAATTAGCATAATTTCACCTTGCACGGGCTACACGCATTTATACAATACACGCCATCTAGTTTGAAAAAATTAACGACTTTTTCGTTGGTCTCACGTTCCCCCTCTCGCCATGCACTAACTTCTGCCAACGTGTCTCGTATAAGCGTTGACGTCATCCCGGAGGATCTGTTCTCAACTGTTCGAGAGATGCAAGGAGCACTTAACTCTATTAAAGTCAGGAAATCTCCTGGCCCGGACGGTATTCCGAACGTTCTCCTTAAGTCATTTTCCTTCGAGTTGGCGCCGGTTATCTGCGAACTCTATAATTCTTCGTTGAGGGAAGGTTTTATTCCTCCAATCCTTTAGTCAGCTTGTGTCCGTCCTCTCCCTAAGAAGAGGCCTGCACAATCTGTCAATAACGATACTAGACCTATCTCTTTGACTTGCCAAATATCAAAAGTCATGGAAGGGCTTACACTATCTAGGCTCGCGCCTTCCGTTCTTGCGGATCTCGACGCTAAGCAGTTTGCAACACCCGGAAAATCAACTGAACAGGCTATTGCTTATATTCTTCATCTTGTACTAGAAAATCTCGACCGCGGCAATTGCTCTGCCCGATTGTTTTTTGCGGATTTCAGAAAGGCTTTTGACTTAATAGATCATAACATTCTGTTGCATAAACTCTCAGGGCTTGACGTACATAATGCTTTGTTAAGATGGGTTGCTGCCTTCTTAGAAGGTAGGACACAGTTTATCAGTCTCATGGACGCCACCTCAACAGCTAAGGTCCTAAACGGTGGTATCCCTCAGGGTACTAAGCTTGGCCCCGTCTTATTTGCAATAATGGTCAATGACCTTGTCTCATCTTGGGTTCCGAGAGCAAAATATGTTGATGACTTAACTGCCTGTCCTGGAAGTGGTCCCAAGAAACTCCCCTTCTATGTTAAATTTCATTGTTAACGAAATTGAGTCATACGCGATCTCAAATAACATGCGCCTTAATCCATTGAAGTGCAAGGAGTTGTCTGTTGACTTTCTTAGATATAACAGTTGCAGTTGGCAGCCCATCGCAATAGGTGGTGCCTTTATCGAGCGTGTATCCTGCTTCAAGCTTCTTGGGGTCTATAT